CTATTGTGGGGCATAAGGAAAACATATGGCACTGCTTTTCATAGCAGGCAAGCTAAAAGAATGTGTTGTAATGGAGGCTGCATTCTTTTTATTTGTGCTGCAAGCCAAGGACAGCAAAAGGTGTCTCTGGCCATATTCTCCATGTGCTCAAATCTCAGTTCTCCTATTCCCTTTTCTCCAGTCAACCCACTTCATTTTCCTTGTGTTTGAAGAGGTATTAATGCATGTAAAACATAATGAAGATTAACCACATTCTATAATAGCTAGATACAGCATTAGCCCGCTCATATTATCAGACACAATATCAATATTTTGAATTCAGCACAGTCTCTTCACTATGGAGATGAATAGGAGTGTAATGAGAGGGGAGGCAGCAGCAAAATTCTCTTTCTATACAAGCCTCTATAGTAATTAGCAAATGAAGATATGGAAAACACAGCTGCCTACACAAAATATGCAGCCAGCTGCTTAGAAACTGCCCTTCCCTGAACCACTGTGATGGCTTGGGTATTGTTATTATTCATAATTTATGCAGCACTGTCTAGCTTTCAGCCCATATCTCATTCACTGCTCTGTGAAGAAAGTTGCTGCTATTTGCTGATGGGAACAGGGGTTGAAAGATAGTGAGCCAAGGGTCTGAACCCACATTTTATAAATCCAAAGAAGGTATGCTGCAAAGACATTATTGTTCGCTTATCCTTCTTTCAGAATCTGTCAACACTGGATCTCTGAGAAGGGAACTTCATGGTAAGTGAACAAATTTTCCATTCTCTAGTGGTCCAGGGTGGGGCAGTCACAACTCATGGGATGTACAAAAGCTATGAACCACAGGTTCTGTCAGAGCCTGTTGAAGGCCTCTCCTTCCCAAAGAGGTGTCCACAGAAGCCTCCCTATCAATACAGTAGTGCCAAGTAAAGGTGTGTGCCAACTTCTATGTGGCTGCCCGGTACACCATTTCCAGCAAAGGGAAGCCCAAGCTAAAGTAGGATACCTCCTTATAGAGTGAGCCATTACCCTCATTGGAGTTTCCAACCCTCTGGCTTTGTATTCAAGATCTATGCAGTCTCAGATCCACCTTCATAGGGTAGGCACAGATACCCTGGAACTCATGAGAGACCTCCAGAAAGAAGCTATGAAAACCACTTTGGCTTTGAGGTCTACTATGATCTGTATCATCTTGTGGGGAAGTTGTACTGGAGGAAAGGGGTACAGGAGTTGGTCTGGCCACTGGCAGCTCAGAGTGTCTACTCCCACAGTTTGAGGATATTTGGACCTGGAGACAAACCTGGGGATCTGGCAGGTGCTGGTTGATGCAAACAGATCCACCAGAGCCCCTTTAAACCTCTGGCAAATGGTGAGAAACATCTTTGGGTTCAGCTTCCACTCTGACTGATTTAGCTTTCTTCAACTTAACCAGTCAGCTACCATGCTGTCCATCCTGGCCACATATACCACCTTGATGTAAACCAGACAATTTTCTGACCAGTCTGGGAGCTAAGTTGCCTATGAATTTAGAAACTTTGATTTGGTGCCCCCTTGGGGAATTAATGCAGGCTTCTGATGTCATGTTGTCTGTGTGGATCAAAACATGCTTCCCCTCCAGCAACTCTTGAAAGGCCCAGAGACTGAGGAAAACCGCCCATAGTCTCCATTTTGCCAGAGTTGGAGACCATGATCCCTGAGCCACCATGTCCATAGAGTGCCCCCCCCTCATTAGACTGGAATAGATTGTGAGCAGGGTTTAGGGAGTTCCATCAATGGAGATCCCTGCAGGAGCCTTCCTGGCAATATCCACCACTAGGGATCCTACATCAGCTGTCTGGGAAGGGGAACAGAAAGTTGAAGATGCTGCCCAATCTCCTTCTAGAAAGGCAACAGAATCCTCTGCAGGGGGTGTGTATGGAACTTGGCCCATGGGATAATATCTTGGCAAGACACAAGCATTCCCAGGAGGCTTGCCAGAACACAAGAGGGGCTTCTGCATCACTTCCTGTCCAGGGAAATGTCCAGCACCACTCTCAGGTGGAGGATTTGCTGTGTTGGAACAAGGCAGTTCTTCTCCCAGCTGGCCACAAAAATATGGGTCTGAAGGCAGGAAATGGTCTGGTCCACATCCACCAATGCCTGGGGAAAGGAGAGGGACCTGTTGAGGATGTTGTCCAGGTGAGAGAAGACTGAGACTGCCAGTATATGCAGAAGTATGACCAGGGAAACCAGCACTTGGTAAATACCATGGGGACTGACTTTCGCCCAGCAGGGAGGGCCCAGTAGTGGAAATGGAGCTTGGTGTAAGTAAAGCACAGGAAGCATTGATGAGCTTGGTGTTAGCAAAGCACAGGAAGCATTGATGAGCTTGGAGGATTGGTCCACCAAAGCAAGGAAATCTCCTTTGTTGATTGCTGCCACTATTGACCTGAGACATTCTCCATCTGGAACTTTCTCATTTCATTGGTTTATTCAACCATTTCAGGTAGATTATTGCCCTCACATCTCTGTTTTTCTTGGGAACCAAGAAAAGGATGGAGTAGATCCCAGATATCCTCTGGTCCTGGCTCTATTGTTTCTATATGTAAGAGATGGTTTATTGCCTAGAAACTGAGATGGTGTTTGATTGTGCGGTGACACCTGGGGACCAATGCTCCCTCTAAGCTGTGGAGTCTTGTGAGCAAAAAATTCTACTTTGTGAGCTACTGGCATTAAAGGCATGAGTGAGCAATTTGGCTACTGCATAAATTAGTTTGCTCTGGAGCCATCCTTCCTGAGCTAAGACAAAAATGTGTGAGCTGGAGGCTAAAAAACTGTGAGCTAGCTCACACTAACTCAACTTAGAGGGAACACCACTGGGGGCCTGGATGAATTTCTCTGGAGGCAGAAACCTGAGTTCCAGGAAGTAGCACTGGAGACTGTGTCCAGCACCCACTGGTCTTGACTGGAGTATTCCCAGATTTGGGTGAAGTATAGCAGGCAGCCGCTGATGTCGTTGGGGGTCACTGAGTGTCCAGCAGCAGGCAGAGGGAGGTTTCTTTCCTCCATGTCTGGCCCTGGAGGAAGTCTTGCTAGAACCCGCTGAGGCTTTGGCATGCTGCTGTTTTCCTTTAGCCCTATAGGACCCAAATCTGGAATTAGGTCTGGAGTCCTGAAAGGACTGAAACCTCTTCTTGGGCTTGACCTCTCCTCTGCAGTTCTGCAGTGCCTTTTTCTTGCCTTTATCCTCCACTAGATATTTATCCATGGCATCCCCAAAGAGGTTGAGCCCTTTGAAGGGGATGCTGGCCACCCGAGCCTGGGAGCCAGGTGTTGCGGAACACTGACATTGGAAGCCATAGCTCTGGATGAAAGATGGATGGCATCGAAAGATACATCTGCTGTGAAGGCTACTGCTGTCAGGGTGATTTTCTTTAAGTTGTCCTTGAGCTACTTCAGGATGTCTTTATTGGCTGAGGAGAGATCAGAACAGAAGCCCAAACATCAGAAGATGGCTTCAGCAAACAGTTAGTGGGCTGAGGAAGCTTGCAGAGCTGCTGAGGATGTCTTGAAGTTCTTGTGGAGGGCCAGGTTGGTCCTCTTACTGCAGGGATCCCTGGGAAGTCTGTCAGAATCTGCCAAGATGATAGTGCTGGAGGTCAGGTCAGCCACTGGAGCACTGACAATGGTTTGAACTGTCTCAACGCCTCTGCAACCATGGAACAGAGCCAGGAAATAATTTGGTGATTGGCTTTTGGCCTTGCAGGGGCCTGTCATTCTGTCTTGACAAACCTGTCAAAAAACGATGGGAAGGGAAGGCCATGGAAATGGTTTCCATCTGCGGGAAAGCTATAGCTGAGCCTGCAGGTCTAGCAGGATCTGGCTATTCTGGTTCTTTTTCACTCTGTGGGATCTTGAGAATATGGAGAACCTTAGGCAGCAATTTTGAAAAGACAAATCCTGAGGAAAAAAGACAAATCTGCACGGCATGACCTGTGGCTCTTTCCCCCCTGAGAGTTCTCCCTCCTCTCTGGTTGAGGAGACATCTGACTGATCCAAGACCTCCAAGTCTGGATCCAGCAAAGGACTATGTTCTCAATTATTAGTATTAGAAGAGGACCTCCACCATTGTGAACTAGAGCTCCTGGTTGAGGAGGGAGGACATCTGCATTGGGAAACTTTCCTCTCTGCTTTCTGACAGAATGGGAGACAGAACAAGCCCTGCTTTTGCCCATCCTGAATCTACTGCTCATCAGCTTCATTGAATGCCCATGAGTTCTAGTATTTTAGGAGAGGGAGAAATTTTTCTCTTTTTCAACTCTCTCCATCCCATGCATAATTCTATAAACCTCTATCGTGTGCCCCCTTAGTCGTTTCTTTTCTAAACTGAAAAGGCCCAAACCCTTAAGTCTTCCTTCAACGAAAGTTGCTCCAACCCCTTAATCATCATGCCCATTTCTGTACTTTTCCCAGCTCTGCAGTGTGCTTTTTGAGATAGAGTGACCAGAATTGCACACGGTATTCCAAATTAGGCCACACCATAGATCTATACTGGGACATTATAATATTTGCTGTTTTATTTTCAATCCCTTTCTCTCTCCCTTCCATGCTCCCTCCCTCCCCAAGCACAGACCTTTTCCCTGCTGTTCATGGACTTAAGGGGGAAATGATCTCGTGGGGCCAAACCAGATCTGCCCAGCGCATCTGGGATGGGTTTAGTATTGGCTCAGAAGCCTTCAGAAGCACAAACATATTATCTGCTTGGGAAATGTTTTGTGAATAAGCCTTACATCACTTATCCATTTGCATGCCTATTAACAAATGGAAGGAAAGAAATAGCTGTTTTTAAAAATCAATCTTCAGCACCAGTGCAGGAAGTAAAATAAATAATTGAGAAATAGGAGACTATGAATGGGGAATGGGCATTGGGAAGACACTTTGACTAAATATATATGGGAATGATTCACGTTTTACGGGTAGCATATTTGCCCAGTTCTATGATTCAGAAAAAGTTATGGAAAACAGACAGACTGTACCTTCATCACTGGCTGGGCAAAATATTTGGCACTCCAGTCACAAAACCCTGTCTGCATTGTGGCTGACATGAAGTTCTTGTGTCCCACAGTGTCATCGGCATCATCTGCTGTCTGTTGAGGAAAAGAGTGATGAAATGAAAATACAAACATTTCTCATGTCCTTTTAAGAACATAAGAGAAGCCAATGTTGGATCAGGCCAATGGCCTATCTAGTCCAACACTCTGTTACACAGTGGCCAAAAATATCAGGTGCCATCAGGAGGTCCAGCAGTGGGGCCAGGACACTAGAAACCCTCCCACTGTTGTCCCCCCCCTCAAACACCAAGAATACAGTGCATCACTTGCCCCAACCTGAGAGTTCCTATCTGTACCTTGTGGTTAACAGCCACTGATGGATTTCTGCTCCATATGCTTATCCATATGCTTATCCATATGATCAATGCTCCCTCTAAGCTGTGGAGTCTTGTGAACAAAAATTCTACTTTGTGAGCTCCTGGCATCAAAGTTGTGAGTGAGCTATTTGGCTACTGATTAAATTAGTTTGCTCTGGGGCCCTGCTTCCTGAGCTAAGACAAAAATGTGTGAGCCGGAGGCTAAAAAAACCTCTGGAAGCTGGCTTCACATGGACTAGAACAGGGGAGGCCAAACTGTGGCTTGGGAGCCACACGTGGCTCTTTCACATGCATTGTATGGTTCCCAGCAGGTTTTTCCTTCACCAGCCAGTGTTCCCCTCAGTGGGTAGCTTGAGGTGGGGGGAGAAGAGAAAGAAAGCAACATAACTTTAAATGCAGTCTCAAACCGCCCCCCTGGCTGGCTTGTCTCTTTAAATCCCTTCTCCTAGCCTAGCCAGCCGGTGTGGGGGTGTGGAGGGGCTTGGAGGATGCATTTAAAGTTAAAGTTGCTTTCTTTCTACCTCTCCCTCCCTTCCTCCCCCCATCTAGTTGCTTTCTTTCCACTTTCTTTATGTCTTTAAACCTTTATTTCTTTCTCTTCTCCCTCTCCTCCCTCCCCATCTAAAGTTAAATGTGTTCTCCAAGCCCCACCACACCACCACCACACTGGCTGACTGGCTTGGCTCGGAGAACACATTTGTCTCTTTAAACCCCTTTTTCAAGCCAAGCCGGCACAGCAGCAGGGGAAGGGGGCTTGGAGAACACATTTAAAGTTAAAGGCATTCTTGAAGCCCCCACCCCGTGGCCCCGCCCACCAGCTTTGAGAAGGCATTTGTCTCTTTAAATCTCTTCTCCAAGCCAAGTCAGCTGGTGTGGGGGCATGGGGGTGTGCTGGAGAAACATTTAAAGGTGCCTTCTTTCCACCTCTCCCTCCCTCTCCATTTATTTGATTTGTTTCCACCTTTCTTTTCACCTTTATCTCTCTCTCTCTTTCTCCCTTCCTTCCTTTCTCTCTCTTCCTTCCTCCCCCTAATCTATTTGCTTTCTTTGTTTCTCTCTCTTCCTTCCTCCTCCCTCCCCCATTTATTTGCTTTCTTTGTTTCTGTTTCTCTCTTCCTCTCTCTCCTTCTTTCATTCCACCTCTTTCATTCTTTCCACCTTTCTCTTTTCTTTCCTTCCGTCCTTCCTCCTCCTCCCTTTCCATCTTCTTTCTTTCTTTCTTTCTTTCTTTCTTTCTTTCTTTCTTTCTTTCTTTCTTTCTCTCTCTCTCTCTCTCTTTCTCTCTCTCTTCTTCCCTCCCTCCCCCTCTCACCCCATCTATTTACTTTCTTTGTTTTTCTCTCTTTCTTCCCTCTTACTCTCTCCCTCCCCACCTATTTGCTTTCTTTCGACCTTTCTTTCTCCCTCCCTCCCTTGCTTCCTTCCTCTCTCTCTCTTCCTTCCTTTCCCCTCCCACCCTCCCCCATCTATTTGCTTTCGTTTCTCTCTCCAACTTTCATTCTTTCTTTCCACCTTTCTCTCTCTTTCTTTCTCAGACAAATAAATATCATTGGAGAAATAAATGTCATTATCAATACCTGCTTTTACTCCTTTTGTTTTTATTTTTGGCAGTCTCATTTAATGTTTATAAAAAGCAAATTTACATATTTTCCAATAAAAATGTGTGTAATATTTGTTCATTCTTACGACTCTCAAACATCTGACATTTATTCTATTTGGCTCTTATGTTAAGCAAGTTTGGCCACCTTGGACTGGAAGATGATATAATCAGTCAAGAACCAGTTACCGCAACACGAAGATACCACAGTAGAAGACAGCACTGACTAGGACTTGACTCAGGCTTATTGGGAGGTCAAGGGCAGCTAGATGTGGAATGGCCACAACTTGCCCTTGTATATTATAGTGCATAGGATGCATAAAAACCTCAGTGCCTCTTGACCACCCACAAGTCTACTGGAGCTGCGCTGACCATGTTTGTTTCTTTCTACATCACAAACACCAACATTTCCCTCTGATCCTCTTCAGAAAATTTGTACACTAGTATGTGGTATTAAACATGATCAGATTCTTTCCACAGACTGAAGTATGGAATGCTTTTATGAGTTACACACATCCAAGAGCCTTAAGAGTAAGGCAGGAATCAGAATACAATAAGGTAACAGCAGTTTGGAAGGACTAGTGGGAAGACCATTACCTTACCTGATCTGGGCCCTTGTCAAACATTTTTCTTGTTCTGGGAAACTGGTGGGAGTGGGGAGTGTATTGCACCCCCATGCTGCCCACATTTGCAGGTCTTACAGATGAGATGTCCCGATTGACAGGCTGCTTTGTCACATCATTTGTCAAACTGGAGCTACTTGTGCTGGCGGTTGGTGGTGATCCTCTGGTAAAGGGGAAAGAAATATGAGTGAACATAGTACTGGGAATGTTCAGGCTGCCTTTACTAATAGTGGCTCCATGTCTCTCTGTTGCTTTAGCAATCTTGTTTATTCTTGTGAATACAGCAATTATGTTTGGGGGCATTGTTCCCCAAAGTGGTAGCATTTGGCCCTTGCCCCAATGTCATCAAAGAAAATGTGAAATTTTAACTTAAAATCTACGAATTGTCTGTATTTTACAACCAAGTGTAAATGTAGGTGCCACAATTTGTTTTTCACATGTCTCCTTAACAGCAACCAGAAGTGCAGTATTCTTTGCAGTGATTGTACCAGATCATTATATAAGGGGAGAGATTTGGTTGAAACTGCTCTGATGTGAAATCTCATAGTTCACTGTTGGAGAGGGGTGGCTTGAAAAATACACATGGTTTGCAAGAGGTGTGAAAGTCAAAAGGCAACTTTCCTATCTCATCTCTCCCCTGCAGTAGTCTTCTAAACTCCTCTTCTAAATTGTGCTCCCATGGGTTACCAGACCCCAGGAATACCATGGGGGTTGAAGTGGTGTGGGAGCTGCAGTGGGAGGGGAGGAATCAGAAAAATTGCCCTCCCATTCTTCCATGAGCAAAACAGGAGTATAAGAGCCAAGACTAAATGAGAATGGTATTAATGTAAACACACACCCACACACACAAACATTAGCCCTCAGGCACAAAGTAACTTGTGTACGACAGTAAACCTAAGGTATAAGTAAGGAACTTACCCCACTTGGTGTATGTGCATGCCCTTGTTGGTAGGGCTGGCTGGGGCAGACTGAGTGAGGGAGGAGGTATCAAGGATACGCTGGGGGCGGGCATTGACAGTTGCCTAGGAAACAAAAAATTGAAAAACTGAGAGGGAGCAAATTCCAACCTCTTTTTTGTATTGTAATAAAATGAATTTCCCAAGTGTGAATAACTTCACAGTCAAAGGGAGCACAATGGAAGCATCACTCTTGAGCACTGCTGTGATATTATTAGACTACTTAGGTACACATCTACCACAAAGGATCCTTATCTGATGCCTGTTGACAAAAGGCTCATAATTAAGAAAGAAAAAAGTTGTAATCAGCCATGTTGGCCCATGTTAACCCCCCCCCCCCAGTTCTGGTGAGCTAGAAAGCTCGCACAATGTTTTGTGTCATTTTGGTTGGTCTTATTAAAAGGCATTACATCAATTTTGTTTATTATCCACAAATATCCAGTTCCTTCTCTCTTTAGTGTAGTAACATTTGCATTGCCATTTTGGGGGGCAACCTGGCAAAGGGGAAGCATAATGCTTGAGGTTACCTTTATGACTGAAAGGAAATTTAAGTAAATTACCAACCTGACAAAATATCAGAACTTGTCTTGGTATGTGTTGAGCACAAAGTCTTTCATAAACAGTGTGTAAAAAGATTTACAGAAATGGGAACATGTAAATTTGTGACATGTAAACACGATTCCAGGCCCCCGAGAGGCCAGAGGCCAGGCTTGTGGCAACCAGGGCCAGGACCTTTTCGGTGGCGGCTCCTACCTGGTGGAATGAGCTCCCGGAGGAGATCAGGGCCCTGCGGGACCTTTCACAGTTCCGCAGGGCCTGCAAGACGGAGCTCTTCCGCCAGGCTTATGAGTAGGAGCCGCCACTACCACTTCCACCAACGATCGTGAGGGACGGCCCAATATAAAACTTTTACAGTACTGTGATGGATTAGCGCCGCCAAAATGGGCTCTGGGTTAATATCCCTCAGATTAATATTCTCAAGCCTTCATCTTGATGTGATTGAAACAATAATACCACTGAGCACTTTATTAATGTTCATCTGATTGTTTTATTTCGATTTGAATGTCTTATACTGACACTTGATGCCCTTGTTGTGAGCCGCCCTGAGCCCGCTCGCGGGGAGGGCGGGATAAAAATGTGAGAAACGAACAAACAAACAAACATGTGTGCATGGTGCTTTAGTACTATTCTAACCTGTGAGGAAAGGAAAAAAACAAAACGTGTTCAGGGGTGAAAAATTATTTACTGGCTCCATAAATGGAGATTCTCAACTGCAAACTGTCTTTAGATACCGAGGTGAGGGGGAAATAGCTTTTTGGGCAATGACTTTTTTAAAAAGTAGGAAAATAAATGCAGCAGCTCCTGCAATTCCCAAAAGGTAACAATAGATAAACCTCATTTACCACCTCTTGAAAATTTTAGCAAGGGAAGGAAGGTAGGGAACAGAGGGCAAGAAAGTGTAAAGAACTAGGCTTCTAATACAGCAGAACCTTCACTTTCGGAGGTGTGTCACACACAAAAGAGATTGAGATGATGGCCATTATGATCACAGGAATTGTACAAGAAAGGCGTAAAGAGCCATGGACAAGGCCTTTGGGAACTCCAAGAAATAAATAGCACAGACCACAGAGAGTCTTTTTCATAATACCTGAATTTGCACTTCACACCTTGATTGCTGGGTGCATGCTGATGGATTGCAGCAGTTGTGCTTGAGAGCACACATTATCTCTCCTACAACCCTCATCTAGTGGTATTGGCTTTTCCAGATTGCTTTCATTTTTATTTCCTACTTCTCAAAGGAGAGACTTGCATTGCCTCCCCCCTTTTTAAGAAGGGGGTTAAAGTACTTATGAACTCCATACCTGGAGGGGATGGATAATTTGTGAATTCCCAGTGATGCAGAACCAGTTGCATCTATATGAGTGAGTGAAGCTGCTGCTGCTACTACAGTCTTTAAATCTGGCCATGAAATGGCATGAAAAAAATAATCCTGGGTTAATAAAAAAAACACTTAGTCTCTGTTTCACTGTTAATGATGAAGACTCAGAGATAAAACCCAGAATATTTCTATTACATTCAAGGGTTGGAGAAAAGATGCTTCTTTTCATCTGATTTTTATCATTATACATGGTTCATCGTTATAAATGGTTCAAGCCAGCCTAGTTCAAATGAAACAGCAAATTTATTTATTTATGTATTTATTTATTTATTTATTTATTCTGGGATTTATATCCCGCCCTACCCGTACGGCTCAGGGCGGCAAACAAGCGGTAAACGCCGAAGGTAAAACGCGTGTTACATTAAAATTTCAAATACATCAATTAAAATGGTGCTCTACAGTTCAATTATAAGAAAGTTCAAGATGGTCAGTCCTCATTGGCGGCCGACGATGTAAAAATCGGAGCGCAGGCTCGTCTTCCGGGCGGCGCGAGGCTCCTCTTCAGGGCGGCATCCCTCCGTACCCAAGGCCAGGTAGATGGTAAATCCCGCCACGCAGATGGTATAGTGGCAGTGGTGGCGGCTCCTACTCGAAAGCCTGGCGGAAGAGCTCCGTCTTGCAGGCCCTGCGGAACTGTACAAGGTCCCACAGGGCCCGGGTCTCCGCCGGGAGCTCATTCCACCAGGTAGGAGCCGCCACCGAGAAAGCCCTGGCCTTGGTTTGGGAGAGCTTGATGTCCCGGCTGATGTCAGCTCTCTTGTGGGAACATACGGGAAAAGGCGGTCCCTTAGGTAGACTGGACCCTGGCCATTCAGGGCTTTAAAGGTGAGAACCAGCACTTTGAAGCAAATCCGGTATGCTATAGGCAGCCAGTGCAGCGCTTGCAGCACTGGCCGGATGTGGTCTCTCCTCGAGAGACCCATCAACAGCCTAGCTGCAGCATTCTGCACCAGCTGCAGCTTACGGATTTGTAACAAAGGCAGCCCCAAGTAGAGAGCGTTGCAGTGATCTAGCCTCGAGGTGACCGTCGCATGGATCACAGTGGCCAAGTCCTCGCGGCTGAGATAGGGGACCAACTGCCGGGCCAACCGCAGATGGTAAAAGGCTGACCTAGCAGTGGCTGCCACCTGGGCCTCCATTGTTAATGAAGAGTCCAGGAGCACTCCTAAACTCCTAACCTCCCGCACGGGCACCAGAGGCACCCTGCCGAAGGTCGGGAGAAGGAGCCCCAGTTCCCGGCCGGTCCGACATAGGCCCAGGACCTCCGTCTTTGCCGGGTTTAGTTTCAACCGACTCAGCCTGAGCCAACCAGCCACGGCTTGTAACGCCCGAGAAAGGTCATCAGGGGCAGAGTCTGAACGGCCGTCCAACATCAGATAGAGCTGGGTGTTATCAGCGTACTGATGACATCCAAGCCCGTACCTCCGGACAATCTGGGCGAGGGGGCGCATATAGATATTAAATAGCATGGGGGACAACACTTCATAACCCCATAGCCAATAGGCTGAGCAACAGTCCCACAACACCAGCATTACCTTCTGGAATCGGGCGGTCAAGTAAGACCAGAACCAACAATGCCTGGGGCCCCTCACTCTCAACCCAACCAGAAGCATGCCATGGTTGATGGTCCTGAAAGCCACTAGAGGTGTAGCAGAACCAGCAGGGACACCCTCCCCCTGTCATTCTCCTGGCAAGGGTCATCAGTCAAGGGCATTTCCATCCCAAAGCGAGGCCTGAATCCAGACTGAAGTGGATCTAAATAATCCCTCTCCTCTAAGACCACCTGAAGCTGTATAACAACAACACTTCAGCACCTTGCCCAAAGATAGAATATTAGCCACTGAGCAGTGGTTGTTTAGGTCATTTGGGTCCAGGGATGCCTTCTTCAGGAGGGATCTCACAACCACTTCTTTCAAAGTGGTTGGTACTACTCTCTGATGCAGAGAGGCACGTATTACCTCCTGGATCCAGTCAGCCAACCCAGGCCAGCCTGATACTTCCTTCTGGGCTGGGAGCCAATGCTGGTGCCTCCTCCTTTTCCTCTTCAGGCCTTTTAAAGGGGCTGGTCATGCCTGGGAAATTCCCAGTGATCCCCTATACCTGGGATCCCCACAGGGGTGTGGCCAAGCCTTCAAGGGACCAATAGCAACCTCAGAATAATTTCTCTCCCGCTGCTCTCCTTTCCCACCGCAAGAGTGGAGTTGCCAGGTAGCTGATTGTCAGGCTGGTGGCTGTTAAAGAGCCAGCTGGGTGGTGGATTTTTAAAGAGTGCACTTGGTGGACACTGAGCTTGGTGCCACAGGCTTCCACAGAGGAGGTGGGCATGGTGTTATCGCCTCTACCCCCTTGCCACAACTACGGGTTACGCACACAAAAATAGAGCTACATAATGCTGCAAAGGCTTTAAAAGTGCAATCCTAAACAGAGTTATGCTCTCCTAAACCATGGATTTAGAAGGATGTAACTCTGTTTAGGATTGCACAGTAAATGAACGCAGTAGTTATTGTACGGCAGGGGGAATTGCAAAAGTGCCTACTGTGAAACCTGCTAAAGGAATAGATCCATAGATCAAATGAAGCTCTGCATACTTTATTAAATGTCAGCAGCACAACATAGCTTTTAAAGAGGCTATCAATTACTATATGAAAGCTGCCCTGAGAACAGAATTTCCCTCTGCTACACACATTTCGGTTTCACAACCCCTGAGAGCAGAACAGGACCCCGAGTG